AACTCACATGCTGCAAGTCTGAGGGGAAATATATTGTTCATTGTTCCTTCATTGTAATTGAATACGGCTCTTGATTCATGTCAAAGTATATAAAGAATAAAAATGGTATAAAATCTTCGCTCAGAATTAAATAACAAAAATCCTCAATTCAAGTGAAGTTTCAAAAACGAACCGAGTATTCATACAATCCAACAAAAATGGATTCTTCTCTTCTTTTGTCACAGGAAAAGCGGAACTCTTCCTTTTCCCCGAAGATGTGTAAGCAATATTTATTCTGTTGCCTCAATAGCTGCATCTGTGTCCGATCAAACAATAGGAGAGGTTTAGCAACTCCAAAAATCAGAAATTGGTTATATAGAGCCATAAGTTCTTGGAAGCTCAAGTTGATTTGTCTTACTGATTGTCCTCTCCAAGCAAGTCATCGTATGTAACGGGCATCCGTATTCTATCATGAACAGATATGTGTTTCACCTCATCAGCATTGGACTGTTCAAGCTGATCCGTGAATGCATGGACTGTTCTTTTAGAAAAAAACTTCATTGTTCTGCACCACTGTTTGCCTGGTGTTCTGTTGCTTGAATTGTTTCTGCAAAATGGTGTTAAAAAAATAATTAGTAAACATATAAATAAAATAAAAAGGCTGCAATTTTCATACACTATTTCAAAATAAAAGAATATGCAGGGAGTCATGAAACATATTGCAATTGGACAACATGAGAAAGGTTTAATAGACCTTAGTTCAAAGAAGTGAGAAGCAAGGGTGGCCTATGTTATAATATACAACAGTTAGAATGAAATTAAAAATTAAGGAAGAAAGCATTAGAGCTAGTCCAGCCCAACCCGAACTCAGTCCGAAAATTTTAGAACTTGGGCGTTTAAATTCACAAATCGGGTTGGGTTTTATCAAAACCCAAGCTTATTCGGATTGGACTGGGTTCAATCCAAACCCAACCCAAAACTCCAAATTAAACAATCTAAGCCCAAATCAATAGACACCCACATTGTATTTTGTTTTTCTAAAATTCTTCCAACTTGTTATTATATATTTTATTTTATAATTCATTTTTATTGTTATTATATATTTATTGCTTAGACTTAATTAATATTATTTTTATTAATATACTAAAAAAAAAAAAAAAAAATTAACCCATAAAACCCGTCCCTATTAGGACAATGGGACTGATGTGAGCAAGTAAGCAACTTAAGGGAGATCTTTTTTTTTTTTTTTTCTAGTTTTTGTATTTTGGGTTAGAGTTGATGCTTCTTGGTATTCTGATTGCGAAATTTTGCAATAAAAGTATAATTCGTATATTGAGTCATTTTAGTGTTCTTTTTATATATTCTAAGGACTTTGGATTTATATGATCTTGTAGCATTTGGAGTCTGTAATACATATAAAGTTAAAATAGAACAGTAAAAATATAAATATATTTTTTTCATTTATAAACTTATATAGTAAGATATTTACTAAAAGAAAAATGGCAAGTATTAATAATGAATTGAAAAATAAAATTTTCTTAAAAAACTTTATGTTTACAAACATGGAAAAAAAGAAAAATGTAATTTGCATATTTGTTAAAAAAAAAAAAAAAAAAAAGTTGACCCATAAAACCTGCCCAGGGTTCGGGTTATGGACATTACCCATTTTTGGGTAGACTTTGGGTTGGCCCAACCCAACCCAATTTCGGGTTGAGGTTGAGTTGGGACCGGACCAAGTTGGGTTGGATTTGCCCAACTTGCAGCCCTACTATTGCACTTTTATCATGGCTCAAATTAGAGGTAATGCAGAGACAACAGGATGGCCCCAAAATTGTTGGACAGTGGTGTTTGGCAAGGGCAGATCCAAGAGTGAGCCCACCCCAAAAAAAAAAAATTTACTAGAGGCAATTTTAGCCTAGCACCAAAAAAAAAATTTAGTAGTACTAGCCAACCCCATAATAGATTAGCCAATCTTATTATGTATTTCTGGATCCGCCCTTGGTATTTGAACCGAAGTGACCTAAAGAAAAAAACTTTTTTCTCTCTATATATATATTTCTAAATATTTTTTTTTTAAAAACTTTGAGAATTTGTAGAATAAGGATTTGAATTTTTTGAGATTTGAGTTTACTCTTTTCTACTAAATGTCACAAAAATAAGAATTTTTCAATAGAGGTTTTCTGAGAAAATGATCAGAATTAGCTTTCCTAAGAAAATTACAAAAGCGTTCCTGATTTTGCCTATTAAGTTTGTTTTTGGGAATATACCAAACCTTATGAAAGTCATATTATTAAGATGAAACTTTTTTTTTTTTTAACTCCTCTGGAAGGGCTATGGACTGAAAGGAGGAGCTTCTTGTGGACTGTTTGATGGGTGTGGAATGAATGGTCACATAGTGACCAAGCTAGTGAGAAACCAGTTGCTGTCTTTGCTACTGAACCAAAAGAATGCTCTGTCTTTGCTACTGAAGAGAGTTTTGAAGGTGAAATGGCGCCGAAAAAGAATTTTTACAGGTGGAAAGAGGCCTGTATTAATGCCTTCAAGGTGATAGACAAGGAGATCAAGCTTCTTGAAAATATGGACTGCTCTTGCAGTGGTACTACGGCTGTTGTTGTCATAAGACAGGTAAGATATCAAACAAATTACTATGATCATTGTAACTGTTTATTTTCCATATATAATGTGAATTTTGGAAATTTACTTTATGGTGTTTCTTGTGATTAATTCTGAAACTAAACAAGATGAGGATATTGTTATTGCTAATCTCGGTGACTCAAGAGCAGTGCTAGGAACACTAGCTGAGGATGGAGTCAAGGTACTTAATTAACAATAACAATATCCTCATCCTGTTTATGAAGGTGAAATGGCGCCAAAAAAGAATTTGATGTGTGCGGGCGTGCCAGAACCAACAATGTGTGGTTCGAATGTGAAAGGATCGGGTCAAACCGAGTCTCTTTTGCAACAAAATTATATTTTAGACAATTGTATCCTCTAATGTAGAATCAAAATTGCCTTGACGAAAAGGACTTTTAATAGTGAACGAATTAATTATACTGAATGTAAGAATATAATAAGGGAAGAGAAGTAGATATAGATAGAGACTGGAAGAGATAGACAGAGAATAAGAAGATTAATTAAGAAGGAGAAAGATTGAGAATAGCAAGATTGCTAAATAGAGAAAGTAGAATTAGAGCGGGAAAGCTTGAGAAAGCAAAAATAATATTAAACTGTGATTCTAAGGGTAGTGGACCTCTTATAATGAATGCATCCGCACTTATTTATAAAAGAACGTAGCCAAAAACAACTCCTACACTTAAGCACCTTAATTACATCACAACTCTATAACATAACCGACTGCATATTCAAATTAAACTATCTCAAAGATAACCATTAGTTTTATCATCCTTATCTATTGTTTAATTTGAATATCTCCATCCATACCACCTTTGCATGTAGCTTCCCTAATTTATTCCATGTGTCAACTACCATCTGTTTCCACGTGTCAATTATCACCTTGCCCACGTGTCACATCATCACCAAAATGGCTGCCACATTATTAACACAAGATTTTGCCAAAATGAGTGTCAACACCATGTAATAATAATTTTTCATTTTTCAGATATCAAACCTAAACAGATTTGACTCCCTTATGATGAATAGTTGACCTCCATTTATTCTCTGTTTAATCATATCCATCGAGTTTTGTTAGAAATGTTATAGCTCCCATCATCATATTGGCAGGTTATAATAGATCAATGTGCTATATATGGTATTTAGTTTGGGTGATGAAAATGATCATGAAATTCATTGAATTTCCATGGCCTAGGAAATGATTTATAATTCCATCAACACCTAATTGCTGAATAAGGCTTGTGATGCCTAAATTGTCTGGGCAAATAAGGTGATACATTAAATGATTTTACGACAGAAATGGCCAAGATCTTGGAGCATACTTCATATCATAAATGATTTTACGACACTCTATTGTCAGGTATCTTACAAAGGTAGCAGTCGGTTCTGGTCGGAGCATTACCTTTGCGAGATACCCGGCCAACAAGCCAATTGTCGCAATGTATATCATTGTTCAAAATTGTTAAGTTGAAGATTAGTAGATATGTGACTTATTGTTAAGGTTTCTGAATTTACCCATTCTAGAATTATTGGTCAAATTAATTTTCAATTTTTTTTTTGCCGCCTCTAATTTATTTTCCAATCTACATTAGTAGTTTCACTCTTTATTTTTCAAAGCTCTTTAAACTTTACATGTGAGTCTTGCTCTCTCGGGACAACATATTTATTATATCACAATGTACTCAACCAATAGATATTTGGTGTGCCTAGCGCACTGTGCACCGGGCTCATCCGAGTTGTAAGTGTTGTGCACACGCAAGCACGTATTATGCACATACGGCTCGGATGAGGCCGCGCACAATGTGGCGCACCAAATACCTTTCCCTACTCAACATCAATTGGAAGCACAAAAGGACATCAGTTGGAGTTACAAATGGGAATTCTCTAATTTCTAGCTATCATGTAGTTGCATGGATTTACACGTTAACTATGTATTTACAAGAAAAGTATATATATATATGAAAAGTATCCCTTTTGTATCCCAATAGATATGGTTTAACATTAATTTGAAATAGAATAAGGTGGAAAGTAGCAGAATTATCAGATACCTTATTTATTTAATTCAATGATCTTGCATTCAATCACCATATAGAAGCTCAATAAAGATTACTAATCGAATTACAAAGCTAATTAAGCTCCATCAACAAAATCAGTTTTATTTCAACAACATATATAATATACTGCAACTTGATCTGATATCAAAAGATCTGGCACCCAAAACCTCCCTCTTTTTATTTCTTGCATGATGCCTTCCACCTTAGTTGATGCTGCACAGAAAAGATCGAGAATGAATGGACATCAACAAGTTAGCTAAGTACTTAATTATAATGAACAATACTGATAGAAAAGCTTTGTGTGTGTGTGTTATATATGTGCAAATACAAAAAAGCTTACTTGTTGCAGTTGGTGGTTCGGGAGATGGGGATGTCCATTTGAACATTGCACTTTGCAGGGAGGGCTTGTGCTGCATCGTCCTTTAAGTTGGCATAGCGATTGGCAGCATCCTTAACACATTTGCAAGCTGTTTGTTTGTCGGTCGGAGTTGCAGCCATCCCTTTGATGCTTTTCACACCATTGCAGCATTCTGGTGTAGGGTTACCACCAGTAGTGAGGTAGGGCACACACGGGGCCAAAGATGCGTCGACTTGGCCACAACTGATGGCCTGTCCTGGCTCCGCCATCAACTGAATCATGACTAGCACCACCACCACTGATATTACCACTCCCTTCATCTTCAATTGCTTGTATAAGATACTAGACTTGAAGTTTGAGGTCGTATATATCTCTATATATGTATATATATTGATTTGTAATAGGGAGGTTGATCAAGGGGGTATATATAGGACTTTGTTGACAGTTTCAAATGGATATGTGGGTCATGGATTTAAGAGGATTTGTTACACTATTTTGGCTGTTTCATTGCTTTCAAATGTCACTTGTAACTTGTCCAATATTGCAGAGAGGATGAGGATTTGAACCTTTCTGTTATCCTTAACAAGCAATGTGTTTTTTTCTGTTGGTGATTTCATGTTGTAGTAAATTCAATTCTCTCTCTTCCAAGGCAATGGTGGTACCTTGACCTCTTTGTTAAAGGAAATTTCTAGAACTACAATTTTTTATTGGTCATGTTCACAAAATATATATAACAAAGTGGAAGGTTACACTTATTTATTTTTTTTTGCATATATATGACTAATAAATTGTAGATCAAAGAATTCACTTTAACAAATCTGACCCACCACAATACTTGTCAAGCATTTTCCTGGTGTAGGGGAACTTCCTCCTTCCAAGGTGTCTTTTTATAATATTAAAAAGTATTTCCTCCGTCCCACATTAGAGGTTCATTTTTAGAAATAGGAGTTTTTAAGGAAACATGCATTTAATGCATTATCTCTTTTTAAAATTACCAACTTATCCCTTTTAATTTAAAGATTATAAAGTTTGAAATTTTTTAAAAAGATAAAGGACAATGATGGAAATATAGAATTTATTTGCTTTGACTTTTCAAAGAGGACAACTAATTTGGGACACGTAAAAAGAGGATAATGGACTACTAATATGGAACGGAGGGACAAGTATTATTGTTTGGTATAAGAAAGTAGTTAATCCTCACGCATAAAGAGACAAGTATTATTGTTTGGTATAATCCTCACACCCTTGTTATACTTGTGGCAAAAATGCTGCACAAAACTTGAAAAACATTGAACTAATTGATAATTTTTATATAAATAGTCACTAAGATTATATTTCACACACACACATCCAACCCCTCCCGAGAAATAAAGATCATTAGATTGGAAGATTAACCTTCTCTTTTTCTTTTCTAATAAAGAGTAATAGTTTTGTCACTTGATGCAATATTAAAATAAATAAATAAATTTAACAAACATAAATTTTTTAGTTAAGAGAGCAATTTCTTTGTATAAAATAACAACAAATGTTGAATTTTTCTTTAGTCTCTCTCTCTCTTTCAACACTTCGTGCAAAGAAAGCTTACACATGTGTACATATATTTTGTCACACTATATATCAAAAGCATATATACCCCCGGTACGAAGCCAGTATAGGACCGGGTTCCTTATTTTATATATATATTTTCCCATAATAGGTATACATTTTTTAAAAATGTGTAAAAATGCCCCCCCCTCAAATACCCCCGGTACGAAGCCAGTATAGGACCGGGTTCCTTATTTTATATATATATTTTCCCATAATAGGTATACATTTTTTAAAAATGTGTAAAAATGCCCCCCCCCCCCCCCCCCTAAAATTTATCCTTCCCTTGTATAATCTATATGTTTTCTTAAAAAAAAATTCTTAAATTATTTCATTATATTCTATATATGTAATTTATTAATTTATGTCGTTCCAAAAATATCAATCTCCATCTATATATATTCACATATTTCTCTTTATGTACATATATTCCATAAATATTAATTTATATCTATTTAGTGTACAATATACCCCTCCTGAATAAAAATTCTGGCTCTGTCCCTGTATAAACAAGTATATATAGTCCATGTTCTTACCAGCACGAGACCACGAAATTAAACATATTACGACTCTTGTGTCGTATCAATACCAACGACAACAAATATATATATATATAACTCTCTAAGGAGAGAGAGTATAAAAAAAAACATTAGTGAGTCACTCGTCACCCACTAACATGAATAGCTAGTTTTCTTCATTTTCTCTGCTATGACATGGAAACTGGACAGAGTTAGGAAGTTGGTTCGGGGTATGTTAACACTGATAAAATAATTTTTTTTTAAATAGGTTAAAAATATAATAGAATAAGTAAATAAAAAAATAAATAAGAAGAGGGAAAAAAAAAAGTTATTGAACATAAATTATGCATGAGTGCAAAAAAAAAATAAATAAATAAATTTTTAAGAAGAAAATGAAATAAAAAGAAAAAAAAAATATGAGAGAATAGGTTTTAATTGTAGAAGGAGAATGCAAAAGTTTTTGAAAATAAGAAAAAGAAGTTTGAAGAAAAAGGAATAAAGAATTAAAAACGTTTTTAGAAATAGAACATTTTAAGGGAGATAATTTATAAATTTTATGGGAGGATTTTATAATTATTTACAAATTATATGCATAAAATAAACAAAAATTTAGTGGATTCAGAGGCAATAAGGTAGAGCGTTTGAGATTTATTACTCAAACCTTCCTTAATACAAAATATATTATAAATTTTTTTTAAAAAATCAATTTTCTATCTTATCTCGTCTCTTATTACTTTCTCTCTCCTCTCCACCACCTTACCCCCTCTTAAAAAAAATATTGTAAATAAAAATAAAAAAATGAGTGTAAGGGCAATTTTGTTACTTTATGAATTTTTTTTACAAGTTTTGATTGGGGGGGGGGGGGGGTGTTGAGCATACAACCTATGCATCCAAACCTTAAGAAGTCAAAGCAATAAATCTGAAACGCTCTACTTCTGAGATTTGTCTGGACTTAAAAAAAGATCGGTATAATTTACTCTAAATTTTACATGATGGGGACCATATAGTCTTAACCAATCTATGCAACAATGTATACAATCATGTTAGCTTTTTATATATGTGGGCTTATGTGATTGGTTGACACCATATAATAATTTCCCGTGTTCACTTCATCCTATGGGGAAGGTTTTTTTACATGATTCCATGATAGGAACTTTATGATCCCAAAAATGCCATTTTAGATGCGGACTCTTAACTCTTCTTACTGAGTTGGGCTGACTCGGCAAAAGCCCGACCTAACCTGGCCCAATGTTCCAAGTACCAAACCCAAGTAGATATAACACATCACATGCTCTTACCTGCAACTAACACCACATATTATTCATCCAATCACGTTAATTAAGGATTTAAAAAACAGAAAAATAAGTTATATTATCTCTGAACTTCAATGTAAAAGCATTTTCTAAGTCTATTGAACTTGACAGTTTTGACCCGTCTGATCAGTGACGAGGAATAGTTTGGACCTCTGTTTATTCTCTATTTAATCATTCACATCCATTATGAACGGTTAGAAATCTATTGTTAACAAATGAAATTAGTCACGTGAATAATTAATTATATTAAGTACCAAAAAATATCCTTATTTGTTTCTGAAAATGCTCTTACGTTTTTTCTTTCTTATATATATATATATATATATATAAATCTCATCATCTCCTAACAGGTCATTTAAAAGGTCATAATAGTCATTTTATCGCTTCATTAACAGCTGAATGAGGAAAGATCCTTATTTGCTCCTAAAATAAATGTGGGACAAGCCTCCCCATGTAACATTCTCTTTTACTCGAACTCATAAGTCAAGTCACTCGGTCTACTTGGGGTGACTCAGCCGGATGCCTCTCGGGCCGAGCATTTAGCGTGGCGCCGAATTAAGAATTGAATCTGACTCTGATACCAATTATAACGGATGGACGCTTGTCCATTTATTAAAAAATTCAAATTATTGGGTAATACTGCATACCCACTTATTTGTACCTATGTCACTTTCCATCTAAATTCAATGTGAAACAAATTTCTCTTGTAACACTAGTTGTCTAATCTTGAGAGAAGGTAACTTAGTCGAGGGAATTTTTATTTTATTTTTTTGGCAAAGCTTTTTCATATGAACAGCTTCATTATATGTGGTTTAAATAATGTAAGTCATACAATACCATTAATATAGGATTTGAACTTGAACAAAAACCTTTAATGAAACATAATAATCACACATATAAAATATTAGTATTAATAAGTTCTGCCCCAATTAATTAGGTCCCACCTGTCTAGCCAGCAAGCACATAGATTTGCACTACTGTTATATTATTCTGTCTATGGATGGTGAAAAAATTATTTTGCATAAAATTACATCAAATATTTGTACAATTTGGAATACCCCTACTAGAAACTTAATTACTAGATGAGGAGTTGCATATATTCTTATATATTTTACTTTTAATACTCTAATTGTCTCAAACTTATTCTTTTTTTTCTTTCATTGCATATTCCAAAGGTAGGTTTTTTATTTGAAAATTTAATTTAAAACAAGTAAAGCAATTTTTAAAAAAATAAGTTTAACAATTCACTGCAACTATTGGATGCAAGAATTATTTTCCATTTCCATAATATATATCCCTTAGTTTTATAAATTAATTCTCCAAACAAGTTTACCCAATATTTAAATAAAATTTACATTCTGGTTACATGATTTGAGATCTATGAAATATATAAATACTTCCTATATGTCATAGGTCTAATATTCTTTCCATTCGAACTAAAACGCTTTCGTTGTGATCGGGATACCCACTTGACATGACCGAATTAAGAATTATGTCTGACTCTTATATCAATTATAACAGGTGGACGCTTGTCGGTTGATCAAAAAATATTAAATAATATTGTATACTCACTCATTTATATCTATTTTACTTTTTATTTGGATTCGATGTGAGACACTTCTAATAATAGGTTTAATAAGCTCTCAATCCTGTTTAATCCGTGTTTGTTGAATGAAAAATTTTATGTGTCTCATAATTAACAATGAAATTCTTTAAAAGGCTTGATCATAATTTATTACTCTATTACATATACTAATATATGATAATCTACTTAGCAATGAATAGACAAATATTTATACTCGAGCTCTACCAATTAAATTCCACCATGTCACTGCATATGTAAAACTCTGGGTGGTTGATTAGACAAAAAAAATAATAATGAAAAGTGAGAAAAAAAAAAAAAAAAAAAAAAAAAGTCAAGTGAATGAAAGAAAATTCAATGAAAAAAACATGATGATTTGGATAGTTTAAAAATCACAAAAAAATAAAAAATAATTAAATAATAAAAATAAAATTATTTACTTAAATCGTAATTGTATATATTAAACAAGATGGATCTAAATAATTTTGTACTGAATAAATGTTTTAATTTATGAATATAAATAAATAGTATAATAGTCTACATGTTATATAAAATTATTTATTTAGATTCTTATATTACTTTTACCTTTAAAAAAAGAACAAAAATGTTTACCCGCTACAAATTTGTTTATACCTTTTACCCTATTAAATAAAACAAGATATATTATAATAAACCATTATATTTATTATAAATTTGTAATCTTCCTACCATCCCAACCATTTTATGATATTTTGGCACAAAAATCTAGAAAGCTTTTCATGCTAATTTATAAGAATTGAATTTTCTCCTCTCAAATTACTAAAATTCAATTTCACTTTCCCTTTCGCTCTCCATCTAACCAAACAGTTGTTCACTTTCACATCAAATTTTTCATCGATCAACCGACTCAATAAAAACGAAATTCATGAAAAATAAATCACCTCCAAAAATAAATAAATTATATAAAAAAAATCACCACAACAAAACTCTCTGTTCCTCTTTCATCTCTTCACCCATCTCTCTCGTCTACACTTTGAAGCGATCATTTTTGTTTCCCTCTACAGATCTCTGAAATTGCTGAATCGAAACCCCAAATCTCTCTCTTTCTCTCTCTCTATATAGTTTGCGATTAGTTTTTGTCCCTTTCAGTCCTTTCTCTGCTGATCGGTTCGTATGTCGAATTGTTGAAGCTTGATGAGAGTTGTCATAGGGATTTCGCAGAGTTACAGATTTATGGACGAGCGATATGCCTCAATTGCGTAGCGGAGTTCGCAGAGGCAGACCTTCGAAGCCACCGATTGCGATCGAAAACGGTGCCGTTGAGAACAAGGAGGTGAGAGCACCACGGACTCGCCAGAGACGAACAGCAGTGTGTAAGAAGGATAACGGGAAGCCACCGGTGGTCGTCGTTGACGCTGACGGCGACGATGATAGAGCTGTGAAGGTTTTGAGTCAAAAAGCGACGCCGCTGAAGGGTAAGGGTAAGGGTAAAGGTAAGGTTAAGGAGGAGAAGGAAGAAGCTAGGGTTTTGGGAGTGGTCGGTGGTGGTGGTGCTGAGGTTGCGGCGGCGAAGGAAGAGGTTGGGGAAAAGGACATGGATGACAATGATAGTGGTGGCCGGAGCGCCGATAAGGGAGTGGCGGCTGAAGATGAAGGGAGCACGGCTCCCCTTCCGGAAAGGGTTAATCTCACTCTCTCTGTTTATGTATTTATCTATATATATATATTGTTGGTTTGCTCAGAAAAGTGGGAGAAAAAACTGAGAGAGAGGAAAAATTCTGGATTAATGCTTTACATGTCTTAATTTTTAAAACAAACTGACTATTGAATTAGGTTCACTTTGATTTAATCTTTCCATGTTTTTTGGGGTAATTGGATGGAGCTTCACTACTGATTGCATGTTGCAATTTTCAGGCTTTTATTTGTTCTTTGTTAAAGATGATTAATTGGGAATTAGAAAATTGTTCATATGCCTTTAAGATGTTTCTGTTAAGGTTTGTGGTGGGACTTGGCTTAAAAGTTTGTTTGGGAAATCGAAGGAGAGTCTGATGATGTTCATTTTGCTGAATGTAGGACTCCTTGGTTGGAATTTGATACAGTTAGTTGGCATTGTTTGTTTATCCTTTAGAAATACTTTACATGCTTTTAAAAAAAAACAGATCCTTGATAACAAAATCTCATTTAAGATGGTCTTGTCACTACATAATATAAAAACTCTATTCGCACTTTGATAATAGGAAATTTGGAAAGTACATTTTACCATGAGAAGTAGTAATTACTCAATGAAGGAAAATATGACTGTTTGATGATAAGAATAAAAATAAGGTACTTATGAAAGCATTGGGGGCTTCTAGGAGTGTGCTAATATATATGTCTTTCTGGTGAAAGAGGAGTGCAGGTGTATATATATGTGTGCATGTGTGTGTGTGTGTATATGGATGATACATTTATTATATTCTCTGGTTTCTTAACAACAGGTCCAGGTTGGTGGTTCCCCAGCATACAGAATTGAAAAGAAACTGGGAAAAGGAGGATTTGGACAAGTCTATGTTGGTCGTCGCATTAATGCTCCTGTTCCACATGAAAGAACTGGCTCAGGAGCTATAGAGGTAAAATTCATGTATATATGGTGAGACAACTGAGTGTGGTCACTGCATGAGTAGTCAAGGCAAATTTGGCGAGAGATGGGTCGGGACTAGATGTCTCAGGTTCATTTTTCCGTAGTCGTACCTGATGCACATCCATTTTGGGTGATTGCGTGTATCCTTAGTGATCAAAATCCTACTATAAATGGATTAGGGACACCTTAGCTTATTGATATAAAAAATTAATATGGTGGCTGCTGTTGGATTTTTCCTGACTAACTTGTTAACTTTTGAAATTTTTAGGTAGCGATGAAATTTGAGCATAGAAGCAGCAAAGGATGTAATTATGGACCACCGTATGAATGGCAAGTTTACAAGTTAGTATTTTTCTTCTTGGGTTTTCTTCTCACGCATTTTCCCCTTTTGTTGTTTCTATCTTCAATGTTGGATTTGTACTAAAATTATGGTTGTATTGTTTGCTTTCTTTGCTGAATGCATAGTGCACTAGGGGGCAGTCATGGTGTACCACGTGTACATTACAAGGGCCGGCAGGGCGACTACTATATCATGGTATGCTTTTCATTTCATGTGCAATTTTTTTATTGCATGATAGTGTGGTTCTAGCTCTCACAGTCCATCTGTTCTTAGTTAATATTTTCCCATAAATATTTATAGGTAATGGATATGCTTGGACCTAGTTTATGGGACGTTTGGAATAACAATTCCCACACGTAAGTTCCTATTCAAATTTGATTATTGAAGATTATAGATTTTATTATGGTTATTGGGTTACTTGAGCAAATCTAAACATATCTGAAGAGTACTTCTGTTTTGTCGACTTCAGGATGTCTATTGAAATGGTTGCATGCATCGCCATTGAAGCAATCTCTATATTAGAGAAGATGCACTCCCGCGGGTGATTATTCTGCTTTTTTATTATTGTTATTTATTTTATTTTAATGTTGTCGAATTTATAAAAGGAGGTACATTATTTGAAACAAGGAAACAACTCCTCTACATGAGAAGGTAAGACTGCGCATTTTGACCCTCCCTAGACCCCGCAATGGTGGGAGCCTCATGCACTGGCCTAGTCTTGTTAGATACATTGTTTGTAGGATATTCCTGGAATAAGGGTTCAGTTTAGAACTGATGTGGCCGACAAACATCCATTTGGTTTTGTGATCTGTGCCAATCTTGTACTATATTGTTTTATATCAGAAAATCGAAATAATGATGCCTTTATGCCATTTGACTGACATACCTTTGTGTCGAACCTGGATGTATGTAGGCTAGTTGTTTTTTGCAGTGGAAAAGCATGGTATTTTGTTTCCACAATCTTAATTGTCTTCTTTATGTAGCATTCTTACACCATTCTGCTCCTCTGAATAGACTCTCTGCTCTACCTATGCCATGGTTAAAATCCATCTTGATTCTAGAACCATAGTGAAATTCTCTTATTATGTGAGACATGGAGCTGTATATGACTCGTGCAATTTTGGCAGATATGTGCATGGCGATGTCAAGCCAGAAAACTTTTTGCTTGGACCACCAGGGAGTCCTGAAGAGAAGAAATTGTTTCTAGTTGACCTTGGACTAGGTATAATGTATTTAAATTTTGTTTATGATTTGCAGTACAAATTTTTAGACATGATACAATCCTGAAGTACATGCAATATCTCACTATCTTATGGCCTGCTCTGACCTGCCAGCTACACGGTGGCGAGATACTTCTACTGGATTACATGTTGATTATGACCAAAGACCAGATGTTTTTAGGTAATGTGATGACGGATTATCCATTTTACTTGTGTTCTTGTATATCCTCTTATATGAGATTAATTTCTGCTGAAGCGCTATCATTTTGGTGCTGCAGGGGAACAGTGCGTTATGCAAGTGCGCATGCCCATCTTGGAAGAACTGGGAGCAGGAGGGATGATCTAGAATCTCTTGCTTACACACTCATTTTTCTTCTTCGTGGCCGGCTGCCTTGGCAAGGATACCAGGTTGGGTTTTCAAATTGGAATATGTGCTTATATATATGCCATCTGGATATTTTCTGACACAATAATTTATTAATTAGGGAGAGCATAAAGGATTCCTTGTTTGCAAGAAGAAGATGGCAACTTCTCCAGAAACTCTTTGTTGCTTTTGTCCTGCACCTTTTCGGCAGTTTGTAGAGTATGTGGTAAACTTGAAATTTGACGAGGAACCTAACTATGCAAAATACATCTCCCTCTTTGATGGAATAGTTGGTCCAAATCCAGATATCAGACCAATTAACACTGATGGTGCTCAGAAGGTATGCTACGTGTCATCTGTGTATATTAGATGGATGTCCAGTTGAACTTGAAATCTCTCTTCTTTCTTTTTCTATTTAGATTTTTTCTGACACATGTTTACATGCTATGAAGCTTATATATCAGGTTGGCCATAAGAGAGGACGGTTGATAATGGAAGAGGATGATGATGAACAACCAAAGAAGAAAGTCCGAATGGGAATGCCTGCAACACAATGGATCAGTGTTTACAATGCTCGTCGGCCTATGAAGCAAAGGTTTGTAGTTTGAACTTACATATTGGGTCCTCTCTGATGCCGAGAAAAAGGATAAAGGACTTATGTTTACATTTGGTGTTGTAGATATCACTATAATGTGGCAGACTTGAGGCTTCCTCAACACATTCAGAAAGGAAATGAAGATGGTTTATTTATTAGCTGCGTTGCATCCTGTTCAAACCTGTGGGCCCTAATCATGGATGCTGGAACTGGCTTCACTTCTCAAGTTTATGAACTATCACCCTATTTCCTTCACAAGGTTGCTTATACTTCTTTTGGATCTTTTAGACACTTTGCTATTACTTGTTTATATGTTGAATACATGCACGTTCGTTCACCTTGCACTTCACAAGCATATGTTTGAAGCATAAAGATTATGTGGATAACCTAATTCTTCTTATTTTAATTTTTTGAAGGAATGGATTATGGAACAGTGGGAGAAGAATTATTACATTAGTGCAATAGCAGGAGCCAATAATGGGAGCTCGTTAGTAGTAATGTCTAAGGGTGAGTCTAGCTAATATGGAGCACAATAATTTTGTTGACGCTTAGTATAATTCTGGCTTAACTATCATTACTCTAAAATCCAGGTACCCAGTATTTGCAGCAGTCCTATAAAGTCAGTGAGTCATTTCCGTTCAAGTGGATAAATAAAAAATGGAGGGAGGGATTTTATGTCACTGCCATGGCCACTGCAGGAAATAGATGGGCAATTGTTATGTCTCGTGGGGCAGGATTTTCTGATCAGGTTTTGTTGTGATTCGTGGTTCTTTTTTCAACAGGATGATTGTGCTGCCAAGAATACATTTCTGATAGTTTATTTTTTTTGGGTGTTTAATCTCAGGTTGTGGAACTAGATTTTCTGTATCCCAGTGAAGGCGTTCATCGGAGGTGGGATGGTGGTTATCGGATCACATCAACTGCCGCAACTGTGGACCAGACAGCTTTAGTTCTTAGTGTGCCGAGAAGAAAACCTGCAGATGAAACACAAGAGACACTTAGGACTTCTGCATTTCCTAGCACACATGTCAAGGTTGATTATCCACATCTATTGACTTTTCTCCTTTTGCTTTCTGTTCCCAAGAGGTTATTTTTTGGAACTTATATTCTGTGGTGGTTTCTCGCAGGAGAAATGGGCAAAAAATCTTTATATTGCTTCTGTTTGCTATGGTCGTACTGTTTCATGAGCTACCAAAGTTTTGCTTGGGGATACTCGCTGAGATCTTCTCGATTCCTCAGTCATATGAGCCATGGGCCAGTTGTTAGGATCTATTCTCTGTTTGGGAAGAAAGCATTACCTTGTTTATAAATGGCAACCTGGTTCATCGTATCATTTGGGAGTTGATGTATGCAAAGCGTTACTTGAGCATCAATTTATCATAGAATTCATTACCAGCACTTGTGCACTGTGTTTCAACTACTGTTCAAAAGCTTCAAAGCTGATGTCCCAGATGGATATTTTTACTTATTGTTAAAAGTTTGTATAGTCTTGAACAATATTACTTGTTTGAAAGCATGTGCACAGGTCATGTTTTGATTATTTATGATAATCCGGGAAACATGCAATCGAAAATTTTGCGGTTGGCTCCGGACTTTTTTAATTGGTCACCTTGCCTTTTTTTCCTCTTCTTTTATTTTGGCTATTACATCCCTTGTGATTTTCACCCTTCTAGTTCTGGGATGTTTGAATTTGATTGGGAGTGGGATATGACTTCAATTTTTCGCATATGAAAGAATCTGTGTTATGTCTTATTGTATATATTCCTTCGTCTTCTCTTTTTTTAAAACATATATATTCGTCACTTTCACCAGCTTCATGCACTTGATCAGAGGAGTATAGCGTTGCAGTTATTGCTAAGATTGATTTATTGCGTTATAACTTTTATCCTATGAAGTACATAGTTACAGTGAGGCGATCAAAGTTTTGATATGTACTGGGAGGTGATCAAACTTTTGATATGTACTGGGAGCTGTTCAAACCTTTGATTTACACCAGGTGCATATTACTCAACTGTAAAACTTCTTGTGACTTAATATCTGCTTATTTAAAGTTCATATATCTGAATATCTTAATGCTACTGCGCTCTCCTATTTCCCCCTGGGCCAGCATGCCCATTGTATTGCTGATAGGTTGGGTAGTCTTTTGCTGTTCATATTCAATGATAGATGTAGGTGTTGATATAAGTTTTAACATCTATCCAGATTCTCCCTATTTTTCATTTCGGTGAAGAAAATTTTGGAGATTGCTGGTAGAAGAATTGCTTGTAAATTCAGATCATGAGTCAACAGCGAGTATTTTGAGTGGGTAGTGGTTGGAATTGTAGCATAATAAAAATGACAACAATTGGTTTTTCTTGACATATGTCGTTTCAGTTGGTTTCTAGGCACCGTCATTGATTCATATGTTGGTTAGCCTTTTCTTTTCTTTTTTAAAGGTATTTATGTAGTTGGATATTGTGAAAATTACTGAATCTTGAGGTGTATAGAGAATGTCTAAATATTTTTTTAGGATGATCACGAGAGCAAAAGCCTACTTGCTGATCTGGTACAGGAGTGGTTTTGACTTCTCAGATTATGGTGGAAAATCTCTGAAGCTCATTTTTACCTTGTGTAAGGACGTGTGGTTTGAAGAAACCAACTCTGATCGTGGTGGTCACTTAAAGTGTCATTTGGAATGTTCACGGTTCATTACATTGCAGTCTGTCATTACATCTTTGGCTCTGTGCTTCTACGTAACCATTTTTTTCTTTGCTAAGTACTTAACATGTAAACCGTTGTTTGTGCAACAGATTTTTTTTATTCTTTTTGATCATTCTTTTCAGGGATAAGCTTTTGTTTATTTGGTGTGGGGATGCTCAACCAAGCTTGTTTTTGTACAATGAACTGGTGAGTGTCTACTTTTTTCCTCTTCCCTCGGTATTTTATCTGCAATCTGCTCCTTATTCTTACATAAATATCCAGTGTGTTTTTCACACACAATCAGAAAAATTAAATGTGAAGAAAGCTCCATCTGTTTATATGTTTTTTTTATCGACCCTTGGAAGTAGAATGGCCCTATGAAGTCTTTTCATTTGTTTTTCGGTTTACTATCATTTATAATTGTCCCAGTTAATGAAATTGGAGTTGGTTGCCACAGCTGACTGTTTCGGATCACTTTTAGGTTTTAAGTTATTCGACCATAATATGTGAGATGACTTTTTCATGCAGGTGCATTTCTCAATTGGATGGTTTATGAAACACGTGGAGCTAGCTCTCACTACCATGGATGTAGCAAGCATAGAAATGTTTGTTTTAAAAGCCATTTCTTTTTGTAGTTTTTATGGTAATGACGCGTTTTTGGTGACATCTGTTTTTGGCTTTATTTGTTCACAAATGCAAATTTTTTCTTACTTCATGTCAGTAGGAGACAAATTCAGTTTCATTGGGGCATTTCAAAAGGCCTTGCCAATGATATGAATTTGTCTGGATTGACATCAAGTGAGGAAAAAAGCAAATGGACTCGGGAGTTGGGACACATTGCGGGAGCCTCATGCAATGGAGTATGGGCTAGCCCTAATAAGTTTTAATTAAATCAAATGAAAAATCATCGATTAGCTATTTCCATCTCTTAAATGGGAGAAGTTCAAGGACTTTACCAGCACGTTTCTTACGAGCTGGAATGATGGTCTCATTGTTTATGTTCGAATGCAAGCATTTGTTCTGGTCTCGTTGTTTATGTTCCTGAATGCAAGCATTTGTTCGATATGTATTTGCTATGGCATAGAATGATGCTAACAATTGTGCAGTGCCGACTCTCTCTCTTTCCCTTTTTGCAGGTCAATAAATGGAAATTTCATCCCCTACCATCCTGCTGGCCAAATGATAATATATTTACTGGAATGCTCCCAAGTTTCAGATCCAAGCATAACTCAGATCTGTTAATGGCTGGCAAAGGTAGGATCATTTTGCCGTCATTCACGGACTGTTTTTTACATATACAATGTACCGGCCAATTTAGCCGAGGGATGGCAAGGTGGGATTGTATTTTACATGCAGAAAGTGCCCTTGTCACAATTCTGGCTCCGTTCTCATTTACTTCGGTGGTATGCCGAACTGAGGTAAAATATATTTTTTGAAAAATATTTTTATTTGTCAGAAAAAATATTATTTTATTTTTACTTTGTCGGTATTTAGCAAAGATCTACGTTGAGATCGAGTTTATTGGGCGAAGCATGTAGTAAAATAATTTGTTGAAAATTGATGGATAAATTATATTTGTTAAATTTTAATATTTTTTTTCTTGGTAAATATTTTACGACAATCAAACACCAGAAAATAAAAAAATATTTTACTGTCCAAACAAGCGGAGCCAAATACTCTCCCACCTTCCATTTGAAGGTAAATATATATATTTTTTAATAATATAAAAGAACGTTGCTTCTGTTCATGTGTAAGGAAGGCAAATGCAATGGTTGATTAACAAAGAAATATTTTACAGAATAAAGCCCATTGAGACTAGCTTATTCATCAAAGAAGGCAATTTGGTCACCATTTAATATTCAAATGGCTTGTCAAGAATCTTGAAGGAAAAATATAAGCTATAGTTTTTCTTGCAAGATCTCAAAATACGACGACTTTCGTTGTACATTTTTTTCTTTCATACAAGTAAATGGTACAAAATTGTTTGATAATAATCTCACTTTTTGAAACAAAGCATAACTTGTAAAGCAAGGCATAACTTTTGCCCAAAACGGGACAGTTCTTGACGTTCCTTTAATGTACTACACAGCCTTCAAATTCACTCTCTCTTAATAGCTATTTCCGAAGTTTGCAACCAAAATTGCATTGTTTTAAGCCTCTGATTGGCTCAGCTTTGCTTGAACACAAGAAAGTGCATACAGTGACTAATTTAAATTCCAATGTCTTCCTCAAATTTCAATTCATCAACACTCAATGGCTTGTTGGGTACCATCAACTTTTTCGTTTTTTCTTTTTTTGGGGTAACATCTTCCTCAAGACTTTCAATGCATAAATAATACACTCCACTGTTACTGATTTTCGACGTCAATAATAAAATGCAAAGATTTAACTATTATTTACTAAATGTAACAACAAAAATCAACGTGGCTATCAAAGCACCCTAGATAACCACCTTTTCTGTTTTCTTGAAAATTTAAGACATTAAGCCAATGCTGAATTAATTCGATTCTATGTTCATTTCTTACTAATGTTGCAAAGTCTTTTTCTGTAAGTACTGCATACGAATAAATGAGAAAGAGTGTGCTCCTCACCACGCAATGCATTTGAGGACAAGTATTATATAATACACTTTCCTGTCACATGATTTTATAAGGAAGCAGCATGGTAATGAGTTCAGTAAAAACCGAAAAACGATTGCCCAATGGATAATAATAATACCCGATTCTACAGCAGAAATCAACAAAAAATTTCATCCGATCTGTATAATGTCACCAAGCGTTGTGCCTGACTATCGGGTCATCATCCATGCAACCAGTTCTGTGTATAGGTAAAAACGAGATACCAGATCGAAGGTGACCAAAATTTTGAAGATTGCTTAAAAAGTGCCCTCGTATTTTGGCCGGCAACATAATCTCCTCAAATGAACTTTTTCCTGAAGCAATAACCAAAACGAGCATATTATCATCCACATTTTGCAAATGAGCAATCCACAAAATGTGGACGAAAGTAAAACTGAAAGACGCTGAATCCATAAATTTAAAAAGTAATATGTAGATAGCACTTGCCTCGGAACTGTCATGGTCATATCGAATCAAGAAAAGGCACCTGCAGCCCCTTATATCATGCAATCTACGTTGGATTTCAAGAACGTGAGCATCATAATATCTTGCTTGATCACTCTTCTCCTATGATAATATATACCCAGACAGCCAGAGGTAAGACGTGAGAATTTAGCATCATTTAAGGTCACCGCCAAAAAATTAATTTACCTGGAAGCAGAGTACGAGATCTCCAACTTTCACTTTCTGGCACTCCCAGTGCTCCAATGCAATGGAGCGTTCACGCACATTCTTTTTCACGTTTACCCACTCGTCCTCCTCAGACCCAAACCCAATATATCTTACATGAACTTCCTGTTAGAAATTAAACATTGTCAAACTTTAAGTTTATATCACAGAGAATACGATGAGCTGCCTAATTTATAGTGCTGCCTTAACAACCTTTCTGATAATCATGCCATAATGATAAATTCCTCGACATTGATAAAGATTCTAATCAATAAAAAATATTACTACAAAAAAAAAAAAAAAAAATCCTCCTTGGTAAACAAGAGGGCTGATTTAATTTTACCAAATCTAAGCTTCAAACAATGGCTTCAAACTGCATTAAACAAAAAGTAAACACTACTTAAAACTGAATTTCACGGCTAAGTGTCCTAAACTCGGGTTGCTAATTATATATTTGAAGAACAGAGTTCAAATTCATTTTATTTTATCAACAGTGATAATGTTACCACCATGCTGCAATGGCTTTGGCCAAATTCTCTTTTTATTTATTTCTACACTCTGATACACTCATATTCAATCTTCCTAGCATTCTAGGAAAATTGCATAGAGTGGTGCACATGGTTCAGTTTGGTCGGATTCTAGGAAGAACCACAACCAAACCATTCCCAACGGTTCCGGAAATATTAGAACTGAATCTAACCGTTAGAACCAGTGGAACCAAACTGTCATATGCACATATATATATATATATATATGGAAATATATATTCATATTAATCAAATAAAAGTAATTTTTTTAAATATATATATATATATATATATATATATATATATATATATATACATATATATTAATATTGAATTATCACTAACGGTTCAGTTCGGTCCCTTTTTATCACAAACCGGAAGATCCGGAACCGAACAGGTAACAGTTCTTTAAATTTTAAAACTAGAACTGAACCATTCTATCACAGAACCGAACCAAACCGTACAGTTCCAATGGGTTCAGTTCGGTTTAACGGTTCTATCGGTTTTTTGTGCACCCCTAATTTATGCTTGGGAGAGGAACTCAGAAAGTTTTACACAACGGCAAAGGGTATAAGTTTAGCAACTAGTAAGCCTACCTGCAACATCAAGCTTAAAATTGATTTAGGTGAAATAATAACTCAATTCAATTGCAACTTGTACTCAGGATCGATAATTCTGTGTTAGGCAGTCCATGATAATAATAATTAAAAAAAAAAAGAATACTATCAGGCGAACCATCAGCAGCATGCAAATTCCTCCATATGCATCAGTTTTGGTTCAAAAAGCAACTTAGAGGAAACAGAAGGGTAGCTAATATACCACAACAGCATCAAGCCAGTTTTCCGTCATAAAATATGTGATGCAATCATACAAGATAACTACTGATAGCAACAATCAGATCCTTACAGAAAATTAACACTGAAGAGAACGAATGCTTTAAATCATACTTTAACTACTTACAGTTTCACCTGAACCAAGACATCTGTGGCCAATAAATGTATCAACATCATACCTGTAAAGCACAAGAAATATAAGGTTACAAAGTCATGCAAAATGTAAAAAAAATGATTTCTGAATATATTACCAACCGCTCCAAAAACAGTCCTATTATTTAGTACGAACAAGATTAAGCAAACGTGGACATATTTGATGGCAGGCAACAAAGAAGGGTGTAGGTGTCATCTTCTTTCCCCAATCATTTGAGTGTGAAGAGGGCAAGGGGACTAATTTTTAAGTGGTATAAAGCTACAAGCAAAAAGAGAAGTAATGGGGGAAACAGATAATACTGTTGGCCATTCACTAAAAAATTGATAACTCAGCTGTAGTATAGTGTTAGATTCCTTGGGATCAACCCATGTCACCACTTAAGTTGAGTTGTGGATGTTTATACTAATTGAAATGCGATAGAACAATCTGAATTTGTAGTTATCATAGCAATCAACTTATAATATTATACAAATGACTTTCAGCGAAAGCATTTCCCATGTTTAGATTTGCCCTCTTCCCCCCATTCTTCTTCTTTTTTTTTTCCTTTTTTTTTTTTTTATTTTTTTTTATGACATGTCAGATCAAAAACAACGCGGCAAATAAGAGTAGATATTAAATTCTATGCCGTTAATACACACTGTCCCCTTGTGAGATTCCAACTTTTTAAGAAAGTTGCATTTAATACATTCACTGTGTTTAGAAAGAAATGAATTTCCAAAATTGTCCCTCTGATATTTAACTCTCACTGATGTATGCTAACTTTTCAAAAACAATTACAATGGAGTGCTGCAGAAAAAATGTACATGACTTTTCGAAAGAGACGTGGGGACACCCAGAAACCGAAAAAGGGAAATTTAATATAAGATTGAGTATCACTTAGATATCATGGAGCATAATCCAATGCTGGGGAGGGCAAGTCAGAAGACAATATTGGACAATGATTCTATTACAGAAGAAGTAAGCTTTCAATTGAAGTGAACTGTGAATTAAGGTGACCATGGGCTAAGGCTAATTACAGCTACAATTTAAAACATGCAATTGATATTGCGACAAAGTTTACCATCCTCCAAAACACTGTTGTAGTTAAATTGGTTGCCAAGAGATTATAGTAGCTCTAGCATCATACAATCTATTACACATGACACTACAGGAATAAAAAGAAATGCAGAACTTCTTTTGACGATAAATGTTTGAACCGGTTAAAACTTTCTAACAAGTATAAAATGCGAAAGTTATTTCTTATTACATGTAGCTTACCATGCCCCATCTTCTGATGACCTAGCCTCAAATTCCAACTCTGAAAGATCTGGAACATTTTGTCCTGCTTTTTGAAACAACATTTATCAAAACCTATATATAATAAATTCACCTACACTTTTCGAAAATCTAGCAGTTACTGTTTTAATTTATGTGACCGCAAAATTTTTGTCAATTGAAGATAACTGATGGGTACTAAAGATAGAAACAGAGTAAGCATTAAGAATACAAAAACATTGCCAACAGGCCAGTGGCCTAGCGGTATTGGCCTCTTACTTCTCAAAGGGAGGTTAGGGGTTCAAGTCTCAGAAGAGATATGTGTATGTGAGTACCAACTAGGAAAAAAAAAAAACTGTCTACACCACCAAAAGCTAGAAAAGAGAGTAAAACCCAAAGATAATTTCCAGGAGTCAAGGAGAAACGTTGGAACCAAATAGCATCATAAATTAATGGAAAAACAGAGAAGTTCAGAAGTACCAACACAAGTTGTCCAATTAATGGCAACCACTAAATTCTGCATGAACAGATGACATTTTCATCAAAACCCTGGAATCATAATTGTCAAGCTACATGGTGTAGGGCTAATCTCTGTGCACTCCACCTTGGAACAAGCCAAGTGCATCGAAGAGATGTTGGGGTGGGTAATGTTTTTGACATGCTAAATGAAAAAGGAAGTACTTCTACATCAGTAACATGCTATGGTATTCTTGTCACCTTCAGCTCAAACAAACACACAGTTATATCCTTTTTGTCACACAGGTTATTCAAAATGCATTAAAACCCAAAGCCCATAGCCATGAAACAATGATCAAGGAAAGCACCTAGAGTATGGATTCATCCCTTGTGTCTTGAAAAGGACCATATTTTTAACACACTGGGATGCACTTGGTAAAAGAAATTTAGACAAAGATGCCTATTTGTGTGCCTGATATTGTGCTTTTAACAATATTGGTCAATATATGTATGTGTGAAGAAGAAGTACCACATGTTAACACCCTGGGCAACCAATACCATGACCACAAACAGTACTCATAACCCTAATTTAATACCATTGAGTATCAGAGATTTCTAAACCACTTACAAGTGATTTTAAAAATAAAAAAAAAAATGTAGGAAGCAAACACAATAAATAAATATATTCTTAAAGCCCACATACAAAGCCGTTATGATTCATAAACAAAAAAAGGGGGGGGAAAAAAAGGGAGGAGGAGAAAGGAATTGTATAAAATTAAGGGCAACTTGAATGCAAATTTTAGATTACATAACATTAAGAACAACACGAAAGAGGATTTGGGCTTGTGAGGGAAGTAAGAACTCATATCTCATTGCTTAAACACGACCACTTATAATTTGACAATGAAAATGAAAAAATCATTTTCCGGCGGCTAAGGAATGTCCATGTTTTACTTATTTAAAAATTCATTAAACAAAAATTATTTGCAAGTGTTTTGTCTATTGTTCGTCAATATTGAAGATCATACCATCAATTGAAGCATCTTTATCGATTTGAGAATCACTGTGTGCTTTCTTCGCAGGGCAAACTTCTGGGGAAACAGACAATTTCTTGGGAGGATTAGGTGAAGAAGCATCCCTAGGTAGGCAGTCTCGCTGCCTCTTCTGGAACCAACTTTCTATCTGAAGTATAGTTTCAACAATAGGAGTGTCATAGACAGTTAAGAATGAACAACAAAATCAAGTCCAGAGAGCAGGAAATTATAACTAAAGAGAGTTAGAACCTCAATCCATTTTACTAGAGGTTTCCCAGCACGGCCTTTAGAAGAACTGAAATACACAACATTACAAAACAAAATGACACAACAACCACACAAGCTGTTTCCAGGGGGAAAAAAAGGGAAAAAGAAATAACATTATACATGTTGCAATTTCTAGACCATGGTTTTAATTCATGTATATATAGATGCATGAATGTTACTCACTTGAAATTGCGTGCAACTCTTCTATAGAATTCACGATCCAGAGACTGGTTACCTGATTCCTTGTATAATTTATCCATTCTCTCAATCTGTTTGTGTTGAAGGGAGCAAATAATGTTGCATCATGCCTCTTAAAGTAAAACAGTAGTCAGCAAAAGCAAAATTGATGATCAACTTTACGACGTGATGTCCAAGTTTTTATACAAATTACAGCCAATAAGCATGCAATTTTGCTAATGGCTAAAAGAATAAAATTGAAATCAACAGGAGAGTTAATATGTTAACATGCTCAAGCAATTCCCCCTCTTCGAGAGTTAATAAACACCCAAAGAAGGAAGTTCATAAAATTGGAAGTCAAATCAAATTCATACACAGGTTAATGACAAAAAAGATAAGTAGTGAAACAAAAGTCCCTTCCTACAATTAATTGCATTGCACTTTCAACTAATTTAAGAAATTTTAAGCAAAATAGTCTAGGTAATCATTCAAACTTTTAAAGGATCTCTTTTTATTACTCATACCCCCAAACTTCAATGTTAATCATCAGTAAAATAAGGTTATTACAACCACAGCCAAATAAATTTGCGTACATTATGCCATAAACCAAAGGATGCATCATAATGTTCCTGCACACTTTTTCACTGACCAAAGAGAAAAAAGCTGAAATCAGATAAATGTACGTTGCAAATTGTGTATGAGAGACTGATTAAACAACACTCACAGTCCCTGCTAGTCAGGCTACAATTAGTGCATTTCCATTTCCGCACCTTATATCATAAAACAAAAAATGCATCAGTATAAGACGAGTCTAACATTCCCATATGCAAATTCCTACAGACCCTTGAATACAAAAGTGGGAACTGGGAGATGATTTGTCAAATCTGTACAAGAATAGAGTGATTAACCAATCCCATGTTTCATTCCCAATTTGAAACCATTAGTGTCATCACAATACAATCATAACCCAACAAATTAATTCACAATAAGACAAAAACCAAATAATATTTAAACATAAAATTAACAAGCATTAATCTAATATACCCATTACAATTTTTTCACGCATTTTTTTTTTTTCCTAAAAATGCATTTTTTTTTCTTTCTAAAATGCATTTTTTCATATATCCGTGTATAATTAACTAAAAGTTTCATCTAAGCTTTCAAATTTTGCATGATATAACTGATTAATAAAAAATCTCCATTCCCTGCAAACAAGAAGGCAATAAGCTATCATTCAGGTGTTTACAATGAATAACCAATAAAAAATTGCACAATGAATTATAAACCCCATATATATATATATATATATATCACCAGTATAGAACCAACAAGTCTAACATGATGTCATGACCCACAGTTTTTCACAGGTTTATGAATACTAAGTTATATAATATTTCTCCAAGAGTTGAACTAATAATTCGAACTTGCACATGACACGAATGCTTCACCAATGCCCCCATTCCCTGCCAATTAAAGACTGCAATTTGGGGATTAAATAGATATCAACTTTCACGTACATTTTTCTTTCGCATACTCATGAAACTAATGTAATATTTAGTGCATCTAATCTTCATATCATTTCAATATACATCTAATGTAATATATATATATATATATATATATATATATATATCATCATCATCATCATCAGTATAAGACTAAATAAATCTAACAGGGCATCATGACCACGGTTGTTCGCAGATTTATGAATACTAAGCTGTATAATATTTAGAATGATTAATCAAAATACTTGCATTTCACTCCTAATCAGAGGCCACAACCTAGTGCATTGTCACAATTCCACAAACCCATGCACAATGCAAGATGAAACCAGGAACTCATCGCTGTAACAGTCCAAAATCCAACGCTCCTACAAAATTTCCACAGTCTCACTGATACAAAGTTGAATTTAACAACTAATAATTCAAACTAGCAAACAACACGAATGATTCGCCATATCCCTATTCCCAGCACATTACAGACTGCAATTTGGGGGATTACAACCAAAACCCACTAAGCTTTTGCAGAACACACAACATAAACAACGAGTAAAACACACCACATTTCACACACACACACACCCAACGTTTCACACACATTTTTCTTTCGCACACTCGTGAAACTAATGCTGATATTTACATCTAATCTTCGAGCTTTAATTCGCGATTACAATAATATAATCAATCAAAACCCAAAAAAACATACACAATGAAAACAGGGTTTCGAATATAACCTCAGCTTCTGTGAAGCCAGGGACGACCTTTCTCTCCCTAGGCCGAAGCCGATCCATGAGGAGCCCAATCAGTCTCCAAAAACCCTAACTTTTATCTGTATTGAAATCACAAACCCTAACTTAGCTTAGAGCGGTCAGTAAAAAGAAATCAAGTCATTTCAATATATTTTGAGCGCCTTTTCAAATTGGTTGACACGATTGACTATTGCCATTACTATATTGGCTTCTGCCAAAGAAGATAGTGAAGCAAATACTTGTACGTACTATTTGTATGATTGTACACTATTTTGACTAGAGTCGATTTTGCTAATGGCACCTCAATTTTTTGTTTTTTTCTTTTTAACCCATAGAGCTTGAAAAACAAAAAATAAAAATAAAAACTTTTTAACCCATGAAGACCTTTTAAAAGAAAAAACTTTTAACCCATTGAAGGGACACACCTTTTATCTGCATGTATTATGGACTCACTCTCTCTCTCACTCTCTCTCTCTCTCTCACACACACACACACACACACAACCCACATGTCTCTAATGGAATCCGGACTTTTGAATTCCGACTATCTTACCCGACAGAATATGGTGACTTTTGGCACTCACCCATTTTGGTACTACTCTTGTACAACGAGGTTTAACTGTAAAATTGTGATAAGTTTATATCCTTCCATTATGGTTTTAAATTGGGTTGTGTCATAAAAAAAAATTGTTGAAGTTATATATAGCATTTCACGTTTTTTCAGATAAAAGTGAGATTATGACACTCGTAGCCAATATCTCGCACCCATTCAAAGAGATCGTCACAATTTTCACACGCATTACCCTTCGCAATAAAAAAATTTCATTTATCTTGAAATTATCTACTTCTACATTTAGAACCTGTTTGGCATACGCTTTATTTTAGTCGTTTTGTTTTTGGCTAAAGTAGAAACAATGTTATTGTTATATGAGTGTTTTGAAAAAAAATTAGGAGCACGTTTGGAAACGATATTTTGCTATGGAAATGTTGGAAACAGAAACATGCAAAATATGGTTTTAGGCCATGAACAGTTGTCAAAAAAAAAAAAAAAAAAAATTGTATTTTGGTTTTGGGTCAATGTTCACGAAGTGTTTTGGTATTATGTAAAATAAAATAAGATCGCACCAAATATATTTTTATCACCAAAGTCGACACTGTAAGAGTCCAAAAACAAAAATAATAGAAACAAAAACCATGCAACCGAGACCATCAAAAAAAAAAAAAAAAGTAGTAGAAAGCTTGGATTGGGAATAGTATTGGATGTCAAAGGGTGTTGGATTCTGCTTATACAAGTTGGAAGTAAAGCATTTGAGCATTTGAGCATTTTCAAGCATCTTTGTCTATCAAAGCTTTTGTAATCACAAACTTGTAAAAGCATGAATAAATTGGAGTTTAGCTTGAACTTGATATTAATTAAATCAAGCAAAGCTTGGCAATTTCTATACAGGACTATAATTTAGTATGTGAAACAATTATAAACCTTTTTATAATGTTATTATATTCAGTCCATATATTATTATTATTATTATTATTCGGGGATTCTCTATTTTTTGTCTTCATTGCATTGCATACTTTCTATGCACAATATTATTAACCGGTGAAACACGCGAATGTGCCTAAATCATATGTTTATTAATTGGCTGCATATATAGTTATATATAATATTCACGGAAGCAACAATATGATTATAATAATCAAAGAAGAAGAATACATTACATGTTAAACTTATAAATCTCAGTTGTTATTCTTCGAATTTCATATTAAATTTATAAGTCCCAATTCTTATTCTTCCAAGAACATTGATGCGGCCACATGTGAAGGTTTTTGTCCCACATCAAAATCTAATGGAGAGAGCATTGAGTATATATGAGTTATGTAGCATATTCAATAATTTAAGCCTTTAGATCATCGGACAAGCGCCTAACGTCAAATTCCCAACTTGAAGGTATTTTTAAATGTCATTCCAGCATCACCAAAAGGGCAGAGGGGAATTGGTCCTCCAAAATTTTTTGTATTATGGCCCCTCAAAAGTAATTATTTTGTAAATAAATCTAACTATATGTCATAAATTTTTGTCCCACATCAAATCCGGATGAGGAGGATCTTGGAAATATAAGATTGAGTGTTAGCACTATCTAATAACTTAATATTTTGGGTCGAATTGTGAAGCACCCGACCTGTGATAAATGGTACTACCTCCGTCCCAGAAAAAATGTTGTTAATGGGAAACCGTGTCAGTTCAATTTGTGAGAGTCACGGTTTCCTAAAAGTGACATTTTTTATGGGACGGAGAGAGTATCATAGAAGGCTCAAACTTTAATCCGGTGTCACGCGCCTACACGGATGTATTTGAGTCGTTATCGGGTCCCCTGGCGTTAGGACAGCAATAAAGGCATTGCAGGTTTGGGTGGGGGAGAATGTCATAGATTCTTATCCCCACGTCGAATCCTAATCGAACGGATCTTAGGCATATAAGGTTGAATGCTAGTACCATTTAATACCATTAGGATCATCCCATGTCGGATTCGGATTGGGAGGGTTTTATGCATATTAGGAAGTGACGTATTGTTCTTAAAATTTTATTGAAAATTTCACTTGTACTCAAAACACATATATATTCATTGGCCCCAAAACTAGAGAATTTAAGAATAAATTTATCTTGTGTCATTTTGGAGCACATAAGAAATTTTAACTTGAGCTTTTAACCAAATTTTTAAAGGGTCAAGTGTAGAAAATGTTAGAAATTGTGAAAGAAAATTTTTTGATTAGTCATCAATAAAAGTCTTTGAATGAACAGGTGAGATTACCGGTTGGTTATGGGACCGGTTGGTTATGGGATGAAAAGATGCAACTCAAAACCAACAGACATAACTATTCATGTGAACCATTGCAACCTATTGGAGTGGATGTGTCTATTGGTGAGCAGACACCATGTGAACCATTGCAACATATTGGAGTGAATGTGTCTATTGGTGAACAGACACCATGTGAACCATTGCAACCAATTGGAGTGAATTTGTCCAGTGTAAAGAGACACATATAAATGGTTGTGTCCTATGATAAAGAGACACACCCAATTCGAAAAGGCACCTTACTTAAAAACCACTTGTTAGTTTTTTCCAAAGGATTGCCCCCACCTGAAAAGGCACCTTGTTACCTATAAATACCCCCCTTTGGATCATTTGCAAATTGTTCATTTTCATTTTCATTTTCATTTTCTTCTATCTCCCTCTCTAACTTGAACCCAACCCAAGTGAGTTCAAACCATAGGTTAAGTGGTCCGAATCACTTAGACCCAAATCCAATTTCATCGAGCCATATTAAGATTGATCCGAACCATTTGGTTCGGATTGCATCCAATTTAGCATTTACATAGTATAGATGCATTTTTGAGTCAGAGAGAGTATTACACGGAGGAAGTTCGCCGTATCGACGAGTTTGTAATGCTGCTACTAGTAGATGTAGACCATTGTATCATGGGAGATAGACGCCACTGAGTCTGTTAGCACCATAGTGGGGCAAATCTGTCTTAAGGACATAGTATCCAATACTAGCCTCGATCTAGGTTCTTTATTTATTATTATTATTTTATTGCTTTATTTTGCATATTTAATTAAATATAGAGTTGCATATTTAATTAATGATTTCTTTACATACTGTTAATTATCTCATGACATATTAGTATAAGGTTTGTTATATCTTAAATGTTACATAAATCACATATTTACCAACAATCTTAAGACAGATTCACGTCTTGTATAGATTTTATTATATATTTCTATTCAAGATATAAACAAGTAGAAATTATACTAATAATTGAGATATAATAAAAATATATATATATATATATATATATATATATATATATATATATATTATTATTATATGATAAGAATACTAAATATTGATGTGCTCAATATTATGTGAAATTGAAGCATATTATATAAGTAAATTATTGAATTATTTTATAACATCTTAATTTTGTGACAATTAGAGGTGGAAAAAGGTACTTTGTTATTTTTATCAATGATTGCATAAGATAATGTTATGTTTATTTGGTATGAAGCAAAGATACAGCCTTATAAATGTTTAAACATTACGAAAATGAGGTTGAGAATCAACTTGGCAAAAAGATCAAGGTGTTAAGAAATGATAGAGATGGTAAATACAAAACACCATGCTTTTATATTTGTTTAGAACATGGTATCATTCATAAAGAAATGATGAATGCTATGTTGATAAGTTCTGGTTAATTCAGAATTTGTGTGGGGGGGGCGGGAATTTTTGCTTTCCGAAAATTATATTCTCAATAAAATACCTCAAAACAAAACAAATGTGACACCATATGAATTATGGAAAGGTTAAAAACCTTCCTATAAATTCTTAAAAGTGTGGGGGTATCTATTTAAGGTTACAGTTCCTACTCCTAAGAAAGTTAAAGTGGAACATAAAATGTGACGACCTTGTAGGTAGATGTGTCGTGGACGAGTGCAAAAGGCATTGACAGACTACCACACTAGGCGAGTTACAAGTGCACAGTCCCACATCACTTAGGTAAGGGAAATGTGAAGTGTTTTATGTGTTAGTGACGTTATCTCCAATTGGTATGAGGCTTTCTAGGATAAAACTCAAGAACAAAACTATGCAGGCTCAAGTCCAAAGCGGACAATATCATACTATATGGTGGAATGGACCATTACATAAAACCTTTGATAGGTTATGCTCATAACAGTAGTGCATATTGTTTTCTTGTGCATAAATCACACAACGAAAATAAGGATGAGCTTAGATATAGCAAGAAGGTTAGAACGTCTAAATCTTTTAATCCTAATTTTCTAGCATGTTTATTGAAGAATGAGCCACAAAACTTTAAGGAAGCAAAGTCTTCTTCTGAATATTATTATTAAATTATTTTTTAGATTAATTGTGTGATATAATATGAAACTATATTGTTATGCCAGTTCAATATTATTTTTATAAATGTTTACTTTTATTTGATACTATAATATTGAACTATGTAGTTAAATTACTTAATGTGCATTGTAATTCAATTTTACAATATAATTATTTAATGTGTGATATTATTATATTTGTAAGAGTTCATGACTGGTCTGTGTATTTAGTACAACAGACAGAAATTGACTAGTCTAGCTATGTCAATTCTCTCGTTAGTCAATGAAAAAAGATCTATACTAGTGTCTAAGACACGTATGATTGTGAATGGGCTAAATAAGAGAAGATTTTTC